CATGCCCAACGCCTATGCTCAACGAACTGATAGCAAGGGAGGTTAAACCACACACGTTGGCCAGATACCATCATAAATAAACATCTGGGCGCAACCCTACAAAATTGATATATATAAATATCAGGGTATCTACAGAGAAAGTAGAGTTGAGGAAATCGATACGACAACGTGTAAACAGCAGTAGGCCTGGTGGTGGAATCTGGGTAATGTTTCTTTTATTATGTGTAGTTTATGACGTAACTGATGAGCCTGGGTGGTGCAATGGGTTTGCAGCTGGCTGTCGCCCCTGCCGGCGACAGCTCTGCACACTGCTTCTGTGAGGATCGCAGCTCAGAAAGCCAGTGCAGCCGTTTTCCCTGCAACACATGGGTCCCCGTGAGCTGGCTCCAACTCCACGGGCACTGTCATTAGCGTTTGAAAATGTGGTGTGCGCCTTGAGCCTTATGCCTGCTTGGACGCAATGCGCAACGTCTGCAGTTCGAAACCACCAGCCAATCCTCAGAAGAAGGACTGCGTTTTCTAGTTCAATGGATTACCTAAGCTCACCTGCTCTTCTCCCCATCCCAGACTTCTGCTTCTTCAGCTTTTCTCTTCCTTTCATTGGTACCGTATCCTTGCGCAAATACCATGCCACATAAATAATATACCAACACAAACACTGCCCAAAGCACATCTGAGAACAATGCTCTAGGTCCTAGAGTACAGAGGGTGGAGTAGTTGGGAAATGTTGGCAAATTTCCATGAAGCTGTGAATGCCTTGACTTCCCGGTTTACTTTTCATGAAAGAAGGATGAGGCTGTCTCCTCCGAGAAGGGTGTATAGCCTTTGGAAACCCTACGGTGCAATTCTACTGTCTTAAAGGGTGGCTTACCTGATAAACCCACCAAATCCATTAACATCGAGTCAGTTCTGACCAATAGCAACCCTATCTGGGTCACCAGGGCTTTGCAGAAGTTCAGAGGAACAAAGAGCCTCCTCTTTCTTCCAAGGAGAAGCAGATGAGTTTGAACTACTGACCTTGCAGTTAACGGCCCTATGCTTTCTCAACAGTGCTCTTATTACCCTAAAACTGCTGTGGAGTAAAAGTGGAACATTCCAGTCACAACATCATACAGGGAATCCTGGTGGCATAATGGGTTAAATCTTGGGCTGATATTTGCAAGGTGAGCAGTTCAACCCTCCCTGGTTCTTCTCAAAAAAAACATGAGGCTTTCTGCTCCTGTAAAGCATTGCAGTTCTACCCCGTCTTACACGCTCATCACGAGTCCTTGGTAATGAGTTTGATTTGGTTTGACATAAGGGATAAAGAGTTTGGTGGCACAATTGGTTACATGTTAAGTGGCTGGCTACAAGGTCAGCAATTCGAACCCACCACAGCTCCACAGGAGAAAGATAAGGCTTTCTGTGCCCCTATAGCAGTGCTTCTCAACCTTCCTCATGGCTCGATCCTTTCATACAGTTCCTCGTGTTGTGGTGACCCCTCCAACCATAAAATTATTTTCGCTACTACTTCATCACCGTAAATTTGCTACTGTTATGAATCAGGTAACCCCTGTGAAAGGGTTGTTTGACCCCCAAAGGGGTCATGACCCACAGGTTGAGAACCGCTGTCCTAAAGATTTACAGCCTCAGAAACCCTAAGGAGCCTTTTACAAGGTTCCAGGAACTCATACAATAGCAAATGAAACATTTCAACAAGCTGATGAAGCACTCAGGTAGCTATGCCAAGAAATTTAGAGGACAGCTACATGGCCAACCAACTGGAAGAATTCCATCCTGGTGCCCATTCCATCACCCAAGAGAATGTGCATGCTATTGCATAATATCATTATTCTCACAAGCAAGTAAAATTTTGCTGAAGATCATTCAACAATGGTTGCAGCAGTACATTGACAGGGAGCTGCCAGAAATCCAAACCAGATTCAGAGGAGGCCATAACACAGGGGATATCAATGCTGACATCAGATAGATATTGGCTGAAAGCAAAGAATACCAAAAAGATGTTTGTGTTTTATTGCCTATACAAAAGCATTCGGCTGAGTGTATCATAACAAACTATGGGTAGACTGGAGAAGAATGGGAATTCCAGAACACTTCAGTGTGCTTACTCAGAATCTGTACATGGATGGAGAGGCAGTGCTTCCAATACAACCGGGAACACTGCATGGTTTGACATCAGGAGAGGTGTCCAAAGTTATTGCTCTACCATCCTTGGTTAATCTGTACACTGCAAAAATAATCTGAGAAGTCAGACTATATGAAGAAAGTAGCACCAGGGTTGGAGGAAGGCTTATTTACAACCTGTAATATGCAGATGACACACCTGGCTCACTGAAATTGAGGGAGAATTGAAGCCCTTGCTGATGAAGATCAAGGACTACAGCCTTAAATATGGATTACAACTCCATGTAAAGAAGACCCAAATTCTTACAACGGCTGCTAATGGTGAGGCCAGCAGCCTATGAAATAGAGGAAGAGGAGACTATTTTCTCCAGTAAGGATGTACAGACCAGGGAGCAGTTCTCCTCTGTCCTACAGTTGTTCTGACAGAATTGACGTGATCGCAGTTGCTTAGCTAGATGATGCTGACCACGTTTCAGGAGTTCCTGGCTTGAGCGCTTCTGAAAATCAGCTAATGAAACCTCCCTGGACCCCAGTGGACTGATCTGCACCCCATCAGGTGGGTCGTACAGGACCAGGCAGGGTTTCGTTCAGCTGTGTTGGCTGAGTCACCATAAGTCAGAGTGGGCAACGTGCTGGCAGCTAACAAAACCATTCATGAGTTGGCCAATCCCAGGATTTACTGTACCAGTAAATATTAGGTACAATAGTGTTCATCCTTGTTTAAATTGCAATATGTTAACAGAGATTACTTTCTAAAGCAATGGCAAGTGGATCTGGATCAGGGCGAAAACTGCTACAATTGTCTCCACCATGAGGGGCGTTTTCCCTTCTGGGCACATGGGGTGTGGAGGACTCCATCCCACAAGCATTCCACAACCATTCAATCTTTCAAGCCACACAGGGGGCTGCCATGACGGAGGGGAAGTAATGTTTGGAAGGGAAAGGGGCAGGCACCACGCTACCGTGAAGCGCTGGGAAGGCGATTCAGGGTTGGGCAAGAAATCTGAAGGGAACCATAGAAAAACCACGCTAAGCAGAAAAGAACAGGTATCGCCAAGGCAAGGAATGTCAAGTAGAAGCTCTTGAACTTCGCTGCCCATTAGACATGTTTAAAACTCCCACGCTGGGCTACTTCTATCAGCATCTGGGGGCTGGCTCTATGCACCAGTATTTTTTTTTTTTTTAAGTTCCCCAGGTGATTCCGACGAGGTGCTACCATAACTTTCAGGCACGGACCCGACAGGGAGCGGTCGGCAGGGGGAGGAGCAAGTGTCTACGAGAGGCGTGGCCAGCCAGCGCGAAAGCTCCGCCTTCTCCCGCGGCCGGGAGGCCGCCGCGTCTCCGGACGCAGAGCCTGCAGAGTGGCCCGGTCGCTCGGCGGCGGCGGCGGCTTCGCGCGTCGCCTGCACGGGACGGGAGCAGCAGGGCAGGTGGAAGGAGCGCGGGCCCCACGTTACCTGATCAGAGCCGCCACCCTCATGCTGGGCGCAGTGCGCGTGCGTAGGAGCGCCGGCCGAGCCCGTCGCTGGCGCCCGTGGCAGTGACGAGCCTGGGGCCTCGCCCGGGTGTTCGCCCCGCCGCCTGTCCGCAAACCCGCGCGGCGGCACTGGCTGCGCGTGCCCGCCGGGCACCTGGCTGCCTAGTGGCGTCACATCGCTGCCGGGCGCCTGTGGCAGGGGCGTCCTAGCTCCGAAAAGCATAGTGTTTTAGGCACGGTCTAGCCACCTAAGTGAGGGCACTGAAGCTGCCAGGGGAAGGGCAAGCTCGGCGTCGCCCAGCCCCAGGGCAGTGTCTCTGGAAGTCAGTCGTAGAGTGATCTAGGATTAATATTCTGCAATCGATGCACCCCAGTCCCTGAGGAAGTTTAGTTCGAATTTCCCTCCTCTAGTTTGGAAAACAGTGGAGATAGAGGTGAAAAAAACTTACCTGGTGGTGTGACCTAAACATTCCATCCTTTTTAGTCTGGATTGCTGCATGGGTCCATTCACAGATAGGGCTAGGCAAGGGCATGCCAAGAGGCACCCAAGTGGATCCCTTGGGTTCCACAGCATTCCTCCTTTTCCTCCTTGCTGCATCGCCCCCTGCCCACCCCCGTGCCCACCTGTGAAAGCAGCCCACCTCTTGCTAATCAGCATGGAGTAGTCTGCATGTTGGCCTCTGGGTACAAAGACCCCAGATACCCTGCTAGCAATGCTGGTTTGTAGTCCAGCAGAGGAGTCGTTGCTGTGCCTCCTGCAGGAGAGCAAACTTGGAGACCAGCAGAGTTCCCTGGTGGTTCATGGCGTGGGGCTATTCTTGTTCTCAACCCCCAATGCTATTTTTTTAAGAAACTCTACAATAATGGATTAGAAGAGGTTATAGCAAAGAGACATCCTCAGTATGATAGAGAAGCCAGATTGGGAGCTACTTTTTGTTGTTCTATTTCCTAAATCGATAATGAAGTCTAATATAAGCAAGTGATTTAAAAGAAAAGGTCATGATGTATACATTATACAAGTATTATAAGAGTATGGGAGAAGTATATGCCTGTATTTTGCAGCCCTTGATACTAGAAGCAATGGCATAGGTCTTTCAAATACCATTAAGGCCGCCCAGAGTAGACAGGTTTCAGCAGGCTTCAGGGAGCTAGGCCTCGTGACCTGCTTCTGATAATTGGCCAGTGACCCTTATGGAGCACAACAGAGTATTGACCACTATAGTGCTGGCAGATCTGACCCTGTAGTGAAGGGCCACACAATGACGGCACTGCACAATAGTCACATCATGGACTCAAACATTGCAAGGACCACAAAGATGGCACTGACCTATGGCGTAGCCAATGGCCATTAGTGAGAACTGCCAGGACCTAACAACAACGTCAACCTGGTACTCACGCTTGTGGTACAATTGAAAGAGTCCCAGAGTTGAAGACAGGGTATCTGAGTTTGAATTCTTCAGCTGAATTTCTTCTACCTATATGATGTGGGTCAACAACTTTCTGAGGCTCCTTTTCCTCATGAGCGTACTAGAGATAATAAAATGTACTCGTTTACAATGCTGATATCATGATTAAAAAGGACAAGATGTGTACATTCGTGCTCTACCGTCAAACCTGTAAACATGCTGAGATCTACTGCGAGTATGAATGCATAAGCCAAGATAGACATATATGCACCAAACTTGAACTTGAATACGGTGACTCTATTTGCAATTTACCTTTTTGTAGATTAAATGAGAGATGGAGTGTGTGTGTGTGTGTGTGTGTGTGTGTGTGTGTGTGTGACTATGTGAGAGTGAAATTCTTACTTATCTCTGGCTTGATGCCGTTGTTAGGCGTCACTGAGTGTCCTTTGACTCAGAGACACCCTGTGCACAGCAGAACAAACATTACCCACCCCTCTGTCATGCTCATGCTGGCTCTTCTGGTCTTCCTTCTTCCAAAAACCCCAACCAAACTCACCGCCATTGAGTCAATTCTGACTCACAGTGACCCTGTTGATCAGAGTACAAGTGCCCCCGTTGGGTACTTTAAACGTCTACAGGTGCAGACAGCTCATCTTTGTGCCTCAGAGCAATCTGTGGGTTCTAACTTCTAACTTTGTGGTAAGCAGCTTAATGGTAGCCCGCCGCCCAGGGCTCCTTCACAGTGCTATATGGCGATATGCCACAAGATGATACCTGAGTACCTACCCTGTGTTTCAGCAGTCCACCTTTGCAGATTATTGCCTCTGAGCTGCTGCTTCAACGGTTACTTCGGTGGTCCTTTCTAGAACTCCCCGAGGCTTGCTTCATCGTGGGTGTGATGCTATTAGGTTTCGTAAGCAGGGACCCACTCCCACACCTTCTCTGTGCAGTGGGTTTCCTTATGGATGCTTTGCTGCATGGGATTCCAAACCTATATAGGCATCTGTTTGTGGGGCCACATGACGCTGACACTCTGCAGGCAGGAAAAGCCAGGTGTTGGTGTCCCCACTGTGCTCAATCAGAGGCTGGAAGCAGCCCTGGGAAAGTTTTTCCTGCCGTGCACACAGTGGATAGGAAGTGTGGCAGCTGGAGACAGCCAGTCAGCTGTTCTCTCCACAGCAGGTTCTTCCGAAGAGAGATCTGAGAAGGCACCTTCATGCCTGCCAGACTGACTCACAACATATCAAATAAAGAATGTGAGCACGTCACTACTTAGTTCACAGCCTTCCTTGCTGAGATGAGAAATGTCTCATGAAGAGTTAATTCAAACCTCAGAATAGTATTTGAAAGAGTGACATCCTGAATTCATAAGACTATGTGCTTAACTGCCAAACAAATTGACATACGAAAGCATGTCAATTATGAATCATGGCATGTTTTATTTTCAATAGTTTTATTGAGATACAATTATAATTTAATAGTTTGATCATATTAAGAAGGATGTGCCATCATTCCCACAATCAACCAGGGAACAGTTTCTTCTGGTCCCCATTACTGTTGCCTCTCCGTTTCCCCACCACCACTTCCCATTCCGTGCCCAAAGGTAATTATTAATCCAGTTGCTGTCTTCATAGACACACCCATCCTGACTTCCATTCACAGATCAACAAAACCAAAAAAAAAACCACCTAGCAAAGTTGATCAAATAAAATAGAGGAAAACCTCAATTGAAAAGACAGAAATACTTAAAAATCGGAATAGTTTAAAAATGAGTTAAAAAGGAGGGGTCTAATGAGAAGCTGCTATTTGTATTCTGACCTAATGTCAGATACGAACATCCAGCTTCCAATGTGCTTTGTCGAATAGTAAGGCTATTTCTAGAGTATGGTCAGTGGGAAGCCACTGAAGACTAAATCCACACACGGCCCCTGCGAATGGATTTGGGGGCTTCCACTGTCATCCATAATGTTCTGCAAATTGAGTGCTTAGAACTGAAGCTCTGCTACCATTCCCTCCTTGGATTGTGCAGGCGGGGTGCTTCGTTGTGCTCTTAACTGACTCCTCATTTGCATGGACACTTATTTTGTGACAAGCTTTTAAGACCTTAGACACCTGGTTTATTTTCCTTCTCTCAAATAACTTGGCACCATCTGATTTCTTCACCACCCTTTGCGACAGCACACATAGCCTCAGTGATCTCCTCATGATAGCCAGTACCAAGCAGGCTGGCATATTTTTTATTTTTAAGAAGATTTCATGAATTAATAAGCACAACTTAATTTGGATGAGTAGTGTCCATTTGCCTATAAGTAATTTGCCCAAATTTGAAGAGCAGCTTAGCAATGCCTCTCTATAAGCTAGTGTTCTACATGAATGCTATAAAAGTAACGTCAGTCCATGTCAATAAGTTAATTTTAACAGGATTGGGGGTCAGTACACTACTGCTACTACTGCTCACTGGCGTCAAGTCAATAGTACCTCACAACTGCCCTATAGGACAGAGTAGAACTGCCTCTGTTATTTCCCAAGACTTTAACGCTACTGGAATAGAGAGGCCTGTCTTTCTCCCACAGAGCTGCTGGTGGTTTCAAACTGCTGACCTTGTAGTTAGTTAGTAGCTCCACAAGTGACTACTATGCCACCAGGACTGCAGAAGGTCAATCTTCTTACAATTTATTGAAATAACTCGCCCACGAATTTGCTTTCGAAGGCATTGTGGACTCACTTCTCACAGTCTCGAACTATTATCTATAAATGATGACGGTTATCTTGGCCCCTATAAGTAGAAACCCACCCAACAGTTCGGTTTGGGATTTTATAGAGCCAACAATATAGGTGAATGGAAAACCAGCCTCCAAAACCCTCAGTCCTTTGCCAATTTACTTAAGGGAGATTCTCCATAGCCAAACACTGTTGCTGGTAATAAAAGCTGCAAGCTGTCACTGAGTTCTGCTTTCTTGGCAGTATATCTCGGTGATGCGCTGATTGATAAAGACTGAAATAATCAAATCAATGCTACAGGTAGTTACTGCAGAGACCGTGAAAGGATTTAACGCTCAAACCGGTGTGTACTCCCTGCAGGCATGTCATATAGGAAGCCATCAAAAGGTCCTGGTGAGGATTTAGGAAGAAAGGAATTGAGTTATTATTTAGAGCCTGAATTTAAGGGCATCAGGATATGGGTGTCTGGTGCATCTCTATTCGTAATAATGACAGCAAACTCCTGTAATGTTTACTGTGGGCTAGGGAGTCTTCTAAGTGCCTTAAATATAGTGACTCATGTAAGTATCACAGCACAGTGATGATGAAGAAATTATTGCTATTCATATTTGTAGATGAGGAAAATAAGTGCAAAGAAGTTAAATGACTTGCCCAAGATGTGAGAGCTACGAAGTAAGAGCCAGGAATTAAAACTCAGGCAATGAAGCGCTAAGGTATGCTCTCAACCACTGTCATTCACATGAAGAGCTGATTATTTTTCTAGTTGATGCGAGATATGGATTCTGTTTCATTTGTCTGCAAATAGGTATCCAGTTTTACCAGCACCATTTGTTGATTTTGGCCTACTGTCAAAGATCAGCTCTCTGAACGTAGATGGATTTACCTTTGGATTTTCCATTGGATATCCATTGATCTATGTGTCTGTCAAACCAAGG